CAAAGGGACCAGCACGGATATGATGCTATTTCACAGGAAAAGTAAATATGCTCACCTGTCTCCAAAGATCTAGTCTTACAGGAAAGGCTCCACAAGGGAGGGGTCTCCAACAAGAAATCTTTCCCCAATAGAAGTCAGCCTTCAGCTGAGATCTAAGAGAGGTGCAGCCAGGCTCCACTTCTTCCAGTCCCACAGCTGAATTGCCTTCACCTGTGTTCCCAGGACTGACCAAGTCTTTTCCCCAGTGCTTAATCAGTGGTTCAGGCTGGGACTCAACAGTTTGCATATGCATGTGCTAGCCTTCTCGTGGACACGTGTAATTTGACAAACCGCATTCCTCTTTCTTGCAGTGATAGGTAAAATTATTCATTTTTCTTTTCAGCTTCCTGAATCTGCTCCAACACAGCGCACCAGCTAGTTTGCACATCACCTCTGCAAAGTACATCTTCTGACATTAGAAAAAAAGTAGCTGTGTTCAGTCCTAAGGTAGCCTGAGAATTAACTCAAGACTGTTGGATTTTCAGCAAAAGACAACTGCCACAAATGGCGTTACGATTACCTAGGAGAGTGGAGGATTTCTTTGGCTGTTTTAGGAATCTGGTGTCCATAGGGTGCTGCTGATTCCTGTGTGGGGGATGAGGCAAAGATGCAAAGTTTATAAAGCCCAGTTCTCAGGTAGAAGCCTGCTATAAATGCAGTGGATGCTAAGTGAGATGTAAGATGAATTAGCAATTTTCCTCTTCCTCTTATCTTTTTAGGATAATACTACATGCAGTTGAACCAGCACAGTGGAAAATAATGTTATGATTTCTAAAGGTGTTTTGTGGAACAAAGGATATTGGATCAAATTTTCTCCTGAGCTTTCTCACTGCTCCTACAGTAATGAAGAGCAGAAGCCGGCTTGATTTAAAATAATGAGAAGCTGTGACTTTGAGTAATATGATCATAAATTTTGGTTTGCTATTTCCCATGCATGAGAAGGTTGTGATAGCAAGTATAATTTACTGTGACAAACCACTGGCATAAATGCTTTCATCAAGAGAAACAAATGGTCTCCTTTTGAAATCTCCTGACCACCTTGAGGGAGCAATAGGGTTATAAATAGAGAAAGAACAAATATTGACTCTATGAAATGTAAAGGTACCTAGAGTTCACCCATCAGTCTTCAGATTACACCTGCCTTTCAGGATTAATGTTTTTTCTTCATAATCCGCTCAGATGATTTGTTTGAGCTCAGTGCTCTTTCTAGGTTTTCAAGATGTTCCATACCATTTCTGAAGAAACTCAGAATTCTGGAATGAAGTAGATATTCCCAACCCAAGAGTTACCTTTCATCTCATTTTGACGTAAGTACTAACAAAACTGCCTGCGCTACTCAATGAGTTATTTGTTTGATGGCATTCTTGGTTAGGCTTTCTGTACAACAGCTCCAGAAAATTATTCCTTCATTACTTACACCGTGGGATCTCAGAGAAGCACACTCTCTTTGACATCTGAACCTGTACAGGACTCAAGAGGATACAAGAATTTACTACATCAGAAAAAGGACTCAGACACTGTTTGCTGAACTTAATCTCACTTTGTCACACACTTTGCTTCCCCTTTTGAAGTTGTAATGTCTCATGCATTTAATCTCTGAAGCAATGCTGTAAAACTATTTTCTACACAGTCTGTTGGAGTCTACTTTATATTAATTTCAACGTGGGCTTCTACATTAGATTCAGTTCCTCTTAAAGTGTTTTACAGAACAAATGGACGAAGATAGATGTGCATGGACACATGGGTGATGTGCCACAAAAGCCATACCTACTTTCAGAAGCATGGCAGGAGCCTGGGGCTCAGGTGAGCAGGTCTGAGCATTGCTCCAGCTGCCACACACAGAGAAAAGAACGCTGTTGGTCTGTGGGGTTAAACCACGTGTGGCTCCAACAGGATGTACACTCAAAAACAGCCAAGGCCTGGGGGTGTTTTGACAGAATGAACTGGAGGTTTTCCTGTCCATTGCCTCCCCAAACTCATGTGTGAGAATGTTGTGTCTAAAGAACAGTTTTCTCTCACCTCTTTGTTTGCTCTATGATAAGGTAAAGAAAATGTATGCTTGAAGGCCATCTTAGTGAACAGCTATATGTGACAGAAAGGTCTGGTACCTCATGTCATTTTAGGCAGCATTAGGATTTGATAATTTTGAATATTAAATTTCAACAATTTATATTAAGCTATGGCAACTCACCATGCCTCACTAAAGGCAAGCCTCCAGAAGGACTAGAGCTGCTGCCAGGCTGTTTGAATATTCTAATAAAATTCACTATACACAAACATTTCCAGATTAGCTTTTACGTTTCCTTGCAGTCAGCAGTTGCACAGAACTGGTTTGATACTTGGGATAAGCAGGGCGGAGAGGAATCCAGGCATTGCCTTGTGCATACATTGACATGGTTTTTCAGGAGAGCTTAAGGGACTTAGTGAATATGGCAGATGCTCCTAGACTGTGTGACACACGTGGCCTCTCTGCCTGAAGGGTAAAGTGCAGAATTGAATTAGGTCAAAAGCAGGCCTTTGCCCTTGGTCACTTCCATTAGGAAGATGTCACCATCCAAGCTCAGGAGCAGTTGAGCTACTCCACTCCATGGAGACTACCCTCACATTTTCAGTTAGCTCCCTTGAGCCTCCTTTTCTCTACTGGAAAAGCACCTCAGGACACTCAGAAAAAAAAAAAAAGGTGCCAAGTAGCAGTTAACACCTCCTACAAATATGGGCACATCGAACACTTTGGGGGATTTGTTAGCATTTCTTTCTCTCCATTTAACTTTTCTGTGGTATCTCAGTAAGCAGGGATCACTTGCAGGCTCTGTTTGTACTTTTATGTCTGCACAAACCAGCAAAGTATAGAAGAGAGGAGAGATGCATTTATGTTGCACTGCTGCATGAATGGCAAGGTTAGGAGATTCACTATTGAGATAGCAACTGTTAGAGAAAGATTTTGGAAAGGAATTAACAAAAGCATTATTTCCACTTTTAAATCCAGTTGAAACCAAACTGTGCCAGGTCCTCAGGTCTGTACTGAGCTAATGCCCATTTTCATTTCTGAAGGAAATGACCATATCTGCTTCCTGTGTACACAGCAAGGATGAGGTGAGTAAGGCCTCCAGCAGTTAGACTCATTGCTTTTGGAATCTGGCCTCTTGGGACACCCTGTTCTTAACCCCAAATGCACAACATATTTTATCTCCAGATCTGCTCAGCTTCTTGTAAATATTGCTGTATGTATGGAGACAAAATCACAATAATAGCAGGTGTTACTAACTTTTGCTACCTTTCTTCTAAAAAGATACACATTTCCTTGGGGAACGTGAAGCGCAGATTCACTCCCTTCTTCACACTCCGATGCTTCACAGACAGCTGTGTTAGGGTTGCTGCAGCATTGCCTTGGGTGTTTAGAAGAAATCTTGGGTATTTAAAACAAAGTGTATCATTTCAGAATGCAACACAGCCTGATTCAGAAAGTGATACTCACAGCTTCCATCCTGTGATGCAAAGACTGACACACGTATCCATGCTGGGATTGAAGAACATTGCCATGTTTTCAGAGCTCAGATCACCTCAATGCTTGTAACAACTTCTACACGTCTCTACACTCTGTCAAACAAACCAAGGGTGTTCTAGATCCAAAGTAACTGTCTCCGAATTCACTCTGAATCAACATCCGTACAGACTGTCAGGCAACTCTGCACCACAAATATGTACTCCTTCCCTACCTGGCCAAAATAGTGAATGGTCTGGGTTCACAGATCACAGCACTTCAGACTTTCATGCCTACAAAAAGTTGAGATGAATCCCAGAAAATAAAAACGAATGATTGAAAGTCACCAGGAAAGGGTGGAGCAAAACAGAAGGCAGATTTAGTGCCTAAAAATCAGAATAGTGCCTAAAAATCTTTTTTTCACCTATATGAAGTAAACCAACATTCAGTGAAACGTTCAGCAAGGGAGGTTGTTTCTACATGGGTCCAAAAGGAACCAGTTATATTGGTGACCTGAGAGACACAGTGAGAAAAACATCAGTGAAGGAAGACGGATCGTTGAAATGCACGTGCCAAATGAAATCTGGTTTTGAAGCATTGTAAGAAGGACACTGAAATACTGGGAAGATTTCAAAGACAATAACATGAAGGATGACCTTAAATGGAAGACCTTGTCCACATATCATAGGTGGCAAGGGACGAGGCTAAGCACTGCCTTCTACGGGTCTGGGCTTTCTTCCCAGTGAAACTCAGATTCCCAAACAGGCAACTGAAGTGCATTTTGGTGGGAACAAAAAATAGTTCCAGCTCTTCTATTAGCTCAACTATTCTGAGATTCCCTTGATCACCATTATGGTGATCACACCACAAGATAAAACTTTCTACCTAGCAAGTACTTAGACATTGAGACCGTGGTAATACTCATAACAACAGCATTTTGAGGAGAACACGGTGGTAGCGCAGAATGTTTTGTATTTTAAGAGCCGGAGTGCCCCCTCCTGTTGCATCCCGAATTTAACCGGCGGCGCCCCGCGGTTGTGATCAGCCCGGCGGCATCGAGCGGCGACTCAGAGCCCCAGGAGCAGATGGCACAGCGGGCGGCCTTTGTTGGGGCAAACCGAGCTGCCGCAGGAAAAGCGGCTGTGGGAACCCCCCCCCGGCAGCGTCATTGGTGTAATTAGTGGGCGAAGTCAGGCATATTTTGAAGGGAAGCCGCAAAGCTGAAGTAATGAAGTGTTATTTATAGCTCTGCGCTCTGCGTTTGAGCTTTGCATCTCCTGCAGCCACCAATTGAATACAGTCTGTTCCGAATAACTGAGGAAGTCTGACTGAAATATATGTAAAAGCAGCTCAATAATGCCAATGAATATAATCATTTCTGAGATAATCACCGCGGGTTAACTAGGTTACTAACAGAGCTCAAAAGGAGTCGGGAGTAGAACGACACTCAGCTCCACTTCGCGCTGGGCGTAAGTTTGACCCTCCGCGCCCGCCGTAGCCACCCTGCGCTCTGGCGCCGGCGGACCGGAAGTGGCCGTATTCGCTATGGCGGCCGCCTGCGGGAGAGCGGTGCTGCGGGGCGCCCGGTCCGGCCGTAAGCATCGCCCACCTTTCTCCGCTCGGCCCCGGGGAGGGAGCGTGGGCCTGTTCTGGGGAGAGGGCGGGGGTTTGGGCTGCGAGGCTGTGGGGAACGGTTCCTTTTGAGAAAGGCGTTTTTCTGAGCGTTTTATCTTTACAGGGTGGTTTTCTTCCTCGGCGTGTCGAATGAGTAGCGACGGAGAACCCACAAAATTCCAGCCGCCCCCGAAGCCCGTCATTATTGACAAGCAGAGGCAGAGAGAGGAGAGGAGGTAGGAGGGGTGGCTGGGGCTCTGAGGCGTTAGTGCACAAAAACTGCGTGTCAGAAGGGGGCTCTCTTCAGCTGTTTGTAAAAACAGTAATAAATTTTTTCCTATCTTTTACTATCAAGTGATGAAATAATGTTTTTTTTTTTTTTTTTAATGTGGATTACAATTAAACTATTAAATAACCTGCTCCTAAACTGAGATAAAAGTAACAGGATTGTCATCATTCCAAGAACAACATTGTTTTGGAAAAAGAATGCATTTAAAAAAAATCAGTAACTTGCAGTATTTAATTTTTTGGCAAATATTTGGATTTCTTTAATATTTTTTATGGAAATGCTTTTGTTTTATTCTTTTTAAGTTTGGATTTTCTTACAGGTTTTTGAGCCCTGAATTTATACCTCCCAGAGGAAGAACAGATCCTCTGAAATTCTATATGGAAAGAAAGGATATGATACAGAGACGAAAAGTCTTCAACATCCCCGAGTTCTATGTTGGTCAGTAGCAGCACTAGAACTGTCATACTCCTTAAATATTGTTCATTGGGTGAGATGGTTAAAAAGTGCGCTCTGAAATTGTTGAGTATCATGGAACATCACAGCATCTGCTGTGTTAGATCAAGCTGTATGTGGGTCTGTGCATGCTATTTCACATTTTAAACTCTCATTCAATTTCCAGTGAAAAGATAATACTTTGTACTTCTTTCAGATAATTTGTTTTTGGTTTTTTTTTTTTTTTTTCAAACTGGCATTTCAGTATGGTTGATGAGTAGAACTGAAGGAATGGAAACTGATTATTTGTATTCAGTTTGTGTAAAAAACTATAAAGGTGAAGGCTTAAGGGGGGGACAAAGCTTTACAGTTAACCTGTGGAATCACTTTTAACCTGTTCTGAATTAAGGTATGTTACAATTTATTCTGTTTCTGGCAGTTCAATTGTATGATTAACCATTTTTGAAACGTACCTAGATGTACTCCATCTGACCCTTTTACTATGTGTTAGTGTTAGTTTGCTTGAACAGCCTGATGTTTTACCTTTGTTGATTTGCAGGCAGTATACTTGCTGTTACTACTGCAGATCCGTATGCTGATGGCAAAACCAACCGGTTTGTAGGGATCTGCATTCAAAGAGGAGGAAGAGGGCTTGGTGCTACCTTTGTGCTTCGGAATGTGATAGAAGACCAAGGTGGGATTTCAGTTGTGGCAATAATACCGTGTATTTGAAGACATGGCACTGCTTAATCATTTTATGCCTATATGCTGTTTCAGATCTGGACTTGCATGAGACTGAACATGTGTGGTGGTTTCACACTGATGGGCAGCTCAGATCCACCACATTGTTCTCTCACTCTCCCTACTCAAAAGACCAGGGGAAAAAAATATATGAAAAAAGTTTGAGATAAGGACAGGGAGATCATGCACCAATTACCATTGTGGACAAAAAAGACTTGGCGTAAGGGAGATCAATGTAATTTATTGCCTACTAATAACAAACTAAAGTAGTGAGGAAGTAAAAGCAAACTGAAAACACCTTTCCTCCTTTCCTACCTTCTCCCCTCAAGTGGCACAGAGAATGAAGAATGCAGTCATTTCTTAATGTTTTGTATCTTCACTCTTCCCTGCTCCAGCATGGCATCCCTTCCACAGAATGCAGTTCTTCCTGATCCTGTGTGGGCTTATTACAAACTGCAGTTCTTCAAGATCTGCTCTATTATGGGTCTGTACCACAGACTGCTGTCCTTTGGAAACATTGCTCCAGTGTGGGTGGCAGCTATAGACAGATCTCGTGCTCTACCTGGCCAAGGGCCTCCTCCTGCAGGTGCTCTCACCTCTTTCAGGCCACATCCACCTGCTGCACTGTGGGCTCCTGTGTGGGCTGCATGTGAAGAACTGCTCTGTTGTGGAAGGAGGCTGCTCCAACATAGATCTCTCCTGGGCTGCAGGGAACTTCCATTCTGTGCCTGCTCTCCTCCTGCACTTACCTTGGTAGCTGTAGGGCTGTTTCTTTCCCATTTCTCACTTCTGTCTCCCAGATGCTGTGACTCCCACTTGCAACTCCTGTTGAACAGCATTTTTTCCCTTTCCTCAATCTGCTCTCCCAGAGCACACCCAGTGTGACTTACAGCTCAGCTCTGGCCATTGGCAGTCCTTTTGAAGCAGCAGGTGCTGGCTGTCATGTGCCGTAGGACAGTGCAGGGCTTTGCTTACATAGGCCACCCTTGCAGCCCTTGCTACCAAAACCTTGCCCTGTAAGCATGAGACAATGTGATTCACCTTGGCTATGCTTATATTTGATCCTGGGAAGTGTACTGCTAGCCATGTAAGCACTAGCCCAGTTTGGGCACTGTGGATTTGTGTGCACACAGTTCAGGCCCACAGCATAACAAATGTGTCTGTGTGTACACACGCACACACACACTTCCTGAAGTTCAATTTATCCAGTATCATTCTCAAGCCATTGTGTTATCAACGACTGGACTTACTTTGCCTGTGCAAATGCAGGTGTAATGCATGTAAACAATCACCTGTACCCATAGCACTGTATATGTAGTTCCCTGTAAGGTGAAAGCAGTTCTTGAATTATACAAAGTTGTAGAACACTGAAGAAATACTAAATTGGTATTAGTATTTCCAACTATTTGATCACTGAACCAGACTTCCTCTCTCAAAGGTGTTGAAATTTGTTATGAACTGTACAGTCCTCGGATCCAGGAAATCACGGTTCTGAAGCTGGAAAAAAGGCTAGATGACAACCTGATGTACCTGAGAGATGCCCTTCCTGAATATAGTACTTTTGATATGAATATGAAACCTGTGTCTCATTTAGACCATGAAGAAATTCCTGTAAACAAGGTAGGAGTTTAATATTTTAGTGGGAACATAGGAGATAATTTAGTTAACTTTCTGACTGATACAGGGATTATATCAGTGTGGTAAGCAGTCACCTGGGGCTGCTGCAGGTCTCCATTTCAGGGCCAGATAGAGGACTGCATGAGGGAAGGGTCAGCATGGAAAAACTTCTGCACCAGAGGTTGATCAGTCATGGAACAGGTTCCCCAGGCCCAAATATGCCAGAGTTCAAAGAGCCTTTGGGTGCCATTCTCAGACACAGTGTGGCTGGTTTTATGTGGAATTAGGGGTTGAACTCCTATGATCCTTTGTAAGTCTCTTCCAGGTGGCCATTTTATAATAGCCTGGAATCTTAACTTTTAGTTGTGTAAGTTACAAAGGTGATACCAGTATGTAAAATCTGGTGTCTTCATGCTACTCTTGTAGTGAAAACATTTATAACCAAAGTACCTGCCTTCCTCACTAGGCAACTTAGAAGACAGGTGCAAGAAGTAGTGGCCTGCAGGTGCCTCTGCATTACACTGCAGACAGCACAGCCAACACTATGGAAACTTAATGCTATTGACTTGGGGGGGTGGAAGGAGCAATTAGCAAGATCTGCATCTCAGGAGGTCTGGCAGACTGGTAAAAGAATGCTATCCAACTTAACTTATGGGAAAAGGAGGAACAGCTGCTGTCATATTTTTTTTTCCTTAGTAAGTGACACAGTTAGAACCATGAAGAGTTAGTTAACAGCGTGTCAAAGTAAGGACTGTGTAATAAATCAGTTTTATTTAGGTACAGTAACAAACATAACAGCCACACAGACAGAAAATCCCTTTTCTCCCAATGATGACCAATAGTCCCTTAGAAAAAAAAAAACAGACCGATCTGTCAGTAAACTATTAAAACAGCCTTTTAATACCTTTTACTTTTTTTTTTTTTTTTTTTTTTTTTTTTTTTTTTTTTTTTTTTTTTTTTAAATCTTTCCCCCTAGTTGCAGGTAAGAATGAAACCTAAACCATGGTCAAAACGGTGGGAAAGGCCAAAATACAACATAAAAGGAATAAAGTTTGAGCTACCTGAGGAAAAAATGAAAGAAGCACAGAAGTGGCAGAAGCCCTGGCTGGAGTTTGATATGCTGCGAGAGTATGATACTTCAAAAATAGAGGAAAAAATATGGAGGGAAGTGAGTGAAGAGCTGAAAAAGTAACAACTTTGAGTTCAGTGTATGAATTGTCAGTTTTCAAGTTTTGTATGCAGATAAAATACACAGTAAAATTTCGGCAGTTCTTGTCTGAATGTTAAACTGTCCAAATAGTTGTTTCTTCTGCCTTTCCCAAGTAGACAGCAGCCAGTTATGAAAATGCTTAATTCAGTAGGTTCAGAAGGGGCTATGGCAGGGAAGCAGATGTACAGAAGCCCAACTGTACAAACTGAGAGTAATTGCTGCTTAGTTGTCCTGTAAAGATACTTGTGAAATCACATTTGATAAAGCACCAGTAGTAATCTGACAACAAAGCAGTAATACAAACATTCTGAAACCAGTTTGAAAGAATGAAGCCAGATAAGCTGTTAGTCAAATAAGATTGTGTGAACAGGTGTAAAGTTACCACAGAATCACAGAATTGTAGGGGTTGGAAGGGACCTCCGGAGATCATTGAGTCCAACCCCCCTGCCAAAGCAGGTTCCCTACACCTGGTGAGTGTACACCACAAAGTGGCACAGTAGGTTCTCAAGATACTCAGCTGGGATGGGGGTTCTGAGCTCCAGTAAAAATTGCCTTCCCCTGTTTACAAGTCATGACAAGTGATGTCTGTAGCCACTGGAAGAAGCATCTACAGAGGCGAAGTATGACAGAATCTATTCCAGTTTCATAGCAACACAGGACTAATTTCTTCAGGAGCAACTTTCAACATGAATAAGGAAGCAGGAGAAGAGACAAAGCAAGCAGTGAGATCACATGCTTGAGTTAATTACTGATCAGTTACATTTTCTTTGCACTCAGGAAAGTAGAAGTACACAATTATTTACAACAGAACTCCTAATTCCTGAATATAATGAAGAAGTGCCAGCAGTGCCAAAGTTTTTCTCCATACTTCACATAACGTTACAGTCATGTTCAAGACTTGAAAATGTTAGAAGTCTCATGAACACAAAAATATCTTTTCAAAATAATTGCTTTTAAGTCATTTTTTTGTCTGTAACATTGATCAATACTATTTACAGTTAAAATAGTTTACAAAAATATATATTCTGTCATAAAAAATAGAAAAATCATAGGGAATAAAAGCCTCCAAGAGTTAAATGTTAGACCCATAACATTTCAGAGAAACAGGCACTAATAAACTTAGAAGAATTTGTGATGCACTGCTGTTTCTACAATAAAGCATCCTTTTTATTCTGCAGCAGTAATATTTACTGCACATATACGAAGTTAAACAACATTAGAAATCTGACATGGGTACAATGAAATGAGGTTTAATGCATCTTATTGGGAAGCAAAAGTAAGACTTCCTTAGAAAGTCAATTACTAGAAGGTAACTGGAGTTGTTCTGCTTGTCTGATAAATCAGGGTGTAACAACTCCAGGTCTATGCACAAAGTCCAGTCTATATCTCAAGTACAAAGCTCCATTACAAATCATACTCTGGAGAAGAATAAACATAGTTAAGATGTTCTCCTGTGCAACCTTCTTACACCTTTCTGAATATCCGTTTGCCATCTCACAGATCAAACTCCTCTATGGACACAGACTTCCTGCTTTTGTATCAGGATCAAAAAACTAATGACAAGCTTGCTAAGTGAAAAAGAACTCACTGTGACTTTGGCAGAATTATCTCATTAAGGGGACAATAAGTTAGAGTTCAGTGACTCCTGAGTCAGAGTGATTTTGTATGGTACTGAAAACAGCTTGTGAAGCTGTCTGCACACTAGCAGTAGTATCATTACAGGCACCTCCTTATTCCAGTCATCCTTCCCAAAAGAAGGAAGCGCTCAGGCTTTGTCATATATTGCAGAACACCTGCACTTCACATTGATGATTGTGATTTTATCTAGGAGTAGATGGCAGAAGACATTTGGAAAAAAAAAATATTTCACAGTAAAACAGCTGTGGGCAGGGTCCACTAATTAAACATTACCACTTTTTTAGAGTGAGCATCAGGCTTGTTTCAGTAAAAGAACTGCTGTTTCAAAGAAATCCTTATTTCCTGACCACAGATCTCAGATGTTCCAGTTTGTACTCTTCAATGAACTCTTCAGCAATACACAGAGCCTTGATTTTCACCAACAGGAGAATAACTTCTTCAGTTTCATCACTATTAAAAAAAAGTTGATATAGCACCACATTCACATCTGACTTCAAGATTAGTAAAGCTAAAATGTACTTAAAAGAAAGAGAACTCTCCCTGCATGTCATCTGGTGCTTTAGCTACACTGACCACTAACTGCACCCAACATCTAGAGCCTCGAACTAACCTGAACTAGTACTGTAAAAGCAATCCATTTTACATTATGGATTGCATCTTTTGTTATATGTAGATGTTGGAACATGTAATTGTACATCACTGAAAGTGTTGAATGTGTGACACTTGAGGAATTTAAGAATCATAGAATAATTAAGGTTGGAAAAGACCATAAAGATCATCTAGTCCAATTGCCAACCCATCACCACCATGCCATTGAACCATATCCCTAAAAGAAATGCTAACATAAAGTACATGAGGAAGTGCTGCATCCCAAAGAAAGTGTTATTTCTTACCTGTGGTTATTCCTGTGAAGCATATGTGCACACTGAAGCAAATGCTGGCAGAAGTTCAGTAACTCAGGGAGAGTTGACCCACTTCCAAGATTTTGGAACCACCTTTCTGGGAAGCATGTAACCATCTGTTCACCCAAAGAATATTTTGAAAGTCAAAAAAAAAAAAAAAAAAAAAGGCTTTCAGTAAAACTAAGCCACACCACTTCTGACAGAGTTCTCCTTTTGGCTAGTTCAGTTATTATTGGTAGTGTTTATTCTTCAAAAAACAGGATCATCATTATAAGCAGTTATTCCTAAAGCAAGCATTGGTTCATAGGCTTTTAAAATGCTTTTATACACCAAGGTCATAAAAAAAAAATTAAATATTAAATAATTATACTTCATCTTCAGACTACATCTATCCCCATGGAAATAAGACTTCTTACCTCTTTACACTTCTCTATGTTTTCTGGCCCTGGTGGTGTGTTGAAGAGGTTCAGAAGAAGGTAACGATTCAGCAGCTTGCTCAGTCCCAAATCACGGACCGTCTCTTCCTGTACAATCCCATCCCAAAGCAGAACATTGGAGAGCAGCTGCAGTAATGAAGAAACAGAACATGCATATTTGGTGGCAGGAGCTGTGTTAAAACCTCTTTTTTAAACTTAAAAAGGTACCACGTCCATCCAATTTCTCTGCTCAAAAAAGAGGATTTATTCTCTCCAAGCTTACTGCCAATTAACCACTAAAAAGCTACATATCATAAATAATATTTTGAAGTGGATTAATTTTACGTGTGCCTATGAACTGTACCCTAATACATACACACATCACCTCCCAAGGAAATAAAGAGCATGTCACCCTTCCAATTGGTTAACAGTTTGCTAAGACCCAAGAACAGAAAACAATCATGCTTTATTTTTTCAGAGAAAAGTCAGTGGTCTAATCTGAAGGTGTACACATGTACAAAGACACCAAACCCAGCAAGAAACAGCCATCAACAGCAATTGAGATCCAATTCTAAGTGAACCTGTGAGAGAATCCTGTGACAGAATGAAAACAAAACAAAAACAACTACTGCATCTGCTACATAAGATTATATGCCACCAGCCTCATAACACAGGTAAGGTTGGTAGCCTTGATCCATACCAGCAAAAAGATTCTTTTGTATTTGATCTCAGTATTATTAGTTAGCAAGAGTTGTCTTTAGTTACCCGTATCACTGTAAAGATGACTGTTTAAAAAGATTTAAGCCAGCATAAGAACATCACTGGTTTCTCCCTCAATACAAAATGGTTAATTTCAAGGTAACTGTTAACCTCGAGGTATTTTACCCACACAGACACAGTATGTGATCTCAACAGTCACCAATCAAAAAGCAGTCACAAAGCCCATGACGACTGCATATTTCTCTGGAGTGTTTGACAGGACACTTCCTTTTGACTCCATGAGCTGCTAGGAAAGTTAGACTGCATAATGGCACAAACATCAAAATCTCATCAGCTGTACTTCTGTATGAAAAATAGCCCCCATTCCACCTCTCACCCAGCCCTTTATTAGTGCTCTGCCATACCATTTCTGGGCATGCTTTAGAGGCCATTCCCAATAGAGTCTGCAGATGATTACATGCTTTGAAAGACAGCGCAAATAGGGGCTGCACAACAGCAGTCTCAAACACAGGTAAGTCACACTAATAAGCTGCTGAACAGACCCAAAGAGTTTAATGCATGACCTGCAGTACTATTTACACTGGGTTAAATAATTCATGACTTCACTCCAGGAATAAAATAGTGGCAAACTGTCAACAGACACCTGATACAAGAACATTTTAAACTATTTTACACATGACCACTTTTAAAGAGAACACTGACAGCGAAGATGGAAAACAAACTAAAAGGGGAAAACTTCAATCTACAGTGAAAGACCACCAGTGTCTCTTTTAGAAATATGCATGCATTTGACAACACATTTAAATCAGGCAATACACAATCTGAGAAGATGGTACAAGAATCTTGTCTGCTTTGTCTCTGCTGGGCATCTGAATCAGCATTAAGCTCCCTCTTGTCTTCTCTGCATCTGTCCATGACAAACCCTTACACAACAGCTCACCCTAGGAGTGAATATAGTAAGTCCTCAACATTCCCCAATTCCCTGACTCTTCCACAGGGACGTGCAACATGGCAGCAGGGAGCCTATGCAGGGCTGTTACCATGGCCTTGTTATCATACATAGCAGACTTAAGATACATTTCCTCAAAGACTACAATCTACTTTTAACTAAAGTGATTTTCACAGAAAAGATCAGTATTTTTTTCTTTACCTTCATAGCTGACCAAAACCGTCTTTCTTGGAATTGTGAACATGGTGATGATTTGTCTTCCACAGCACTGGTCAGAGAAAGAAGAAGAGGTAAAATAAGGGTTTTGTTTGACCTTAAAATAAGACAAACAGACAATTCATCTCTTAAACACTGGTGAATTAGAATTACGGAATTCTTTCAGCAGTGACAACCAGAATAAAGATCTAAGGAAACAGCTGTTAATTTGAACTCATGGCAATACCCAATGGAATTAGCAATTGGAAACACTCCAGTCTGTGTTTAATGGATTCTGACCAAAACAACACTGCTTGTAACCACACAAACATGCTGCATCAGGTTTAGCAACACTTTTCTCCTAGCTGTATCTTAACCCCACATCTACCAGACTCTTACTAATTATCCCCTAAGAGCATAGTGTTCAAAGAAGGGCAACAAAGCTGGTGCAGAGTCTGGAGCACAGGCCTTATGAGGAGCGGCTGAAGGAGCTGGGATTGTTCAGTTTGGAGAAGAGGAGGCTCAGGGGAAACCTTATTGCTCTCTATAACTACCTGAAGGGAGGCTGTAGTGAGCTGGGGGTCGGCCTCTTCTCTCATGTAACTAGTGATAGGACTAGAGGGAATGGTTTCAAGCTGTGCCAGGGGAGATTTAGACTGGACATTAGGAAATACTACTTTTCTGAAAGAGTGGTCAGGCAGTGGAATGGGCTGCCCAGGGAAGTGGTGGAGTCACTGACCGTGGAGGTGTTCAAGGAATGGTTGGATTTTGTGTTGAGGGACATGGTTTAGTGAGAACTATTGGTGATAGGAGAATGGTTGGACTGCATGATCTTGAAGGTCTTTTCCAACCTTGGTGATTCTGTGATGAAGCAATAAGCATCAGCAATATAAACTATTTCACGAAAGAAAGGAGGAGTCAAGAGTAGAAGGAGGAACAGACCACCAAAAATAACATGAGCCCTCAGATGCTCTAAGTTAATATCACAAAACCAGACTCCAGTTGAACTAGAAGCTAGACTAATTATACTAAAACTAAAATCTTTCCATTTATGAAAGCTTTTAGTAACAGGAGCAAAAAAGCATTAAGCTGACTGCAGAGATGCTCTTGTCAGAAAGAGTTTCATAAACATTAATGTTTGGTAACTATTCCTATAATGAAACAGTAGAAGGCACATCTGTTCCATTTGTTCACGGATGACTACAATATATTTCACCTACGCTTGTGGGGAAAAGGAACAAGAAAATAGAATAAAGGCTAAAAAAATAGGTTAGGCTGCAGCTAGACTTGATGGTCTTTAAGGTCTTTTCCAACATGAGCAATTCTATGATTCTGTGACTAAAAATAAAAATTTTTAGAAGTAAAAAAAAAAATTCCCTGAGTCAGCTTACCTTTTAGGATACAGAGGGATAAAGACATCCTCCTCTACAGACTTCTTCATCCTCAGGACAACCATGTTAATCAAATCCTGTTTAAAAAAAAAAAAGAAAAAAGAAAATATTAACATATCCTTACAAGAAAAGGATCTCATCTTCCATTTACAACAATTTTAGGTAGTTATTTTGTTAATGTGGAAAAGCATAATGCTAATTCAGCTGAATGGAAGTGACACTGCATATAATACACTCTAAGATCATGACTACATTAAAGACCTGAGAACAAGTCTCAGCTCTAACCATCTTTTTTTTTTTTTCTGATAAAATCCTCTTGGACAATGAGATGTATTTTCCAGCTATGAAGTTCTATTAAAAAACCACACCAAAACGCCATAGCTACTATGCAAACAGAATCTTACCTAAAGTTGTTTACTTGAAGTCAAGAGCAGTGACTGCATAAATGTTTGTTACAATTTCTTTTCATATTAAGGGCATAAACATCAACTTAGTTTCACCTACTTTATGCTAGATAAACTCCCAGATTTACGTGAGAATAAAACCAGAAGTGGGCTAAGGGTATGCTGCAGTGAATACCAGGTAACTGCAGTAACCTTTTTCCTAACAATTAACTCATATTTTGGGATTTTTTAATTTTTTTTTCCATTTCTGCTGTAAAGATGAATATAAAGAATTTCCTTGTTTTTCTAGTCCATATCTATGTTAGGGCTAAAAACAAAACAAGTCGACCACTGGAATACTACTAGTATTTAAATATCAAATTTTAAAAGATACTTCAATGCAAGTATAAAATTTCTGACAATTTTTATTGTGATAAAGCAAGATGATTAAGTCTAAAAATAGATTTTTGACAGGGACAGGCACAATATTTCTAGGAACAGAGACTGACACCTGTCTCAGGAATACCCCATGCCCCACAATCTTCAGAATACTGAAATGTTAACTGTTAAATTTTCTGACTATACAGTGACAAAAATTAATTAGATCTGAACAACCGCAGGAGATCATCTTAAGTGCACACAGAAGCATGCACAGGAAGTGCACACATTGGATCAAGAACTTCCTTCCCCATTACCACAACTGCCTTTACCCGTTTTGCTTGACTGCATTCACTTCTGGACAGGACTTGTTTTTCAAACACGTTATTGCAAAGCTGTATAAGGTTCTCAGTCTGTGAAGTTGATAAAGGATCCCACACATTCTTTACAAATGCTGAAAAATAGGAATTTATTTCATTCATGATATCCAAGTGGCTATCTGCTCTACTTTAAAGGAAGTAAACATTCAAAAAACTAAACCCTTCATTCACAGTAACCTTAACAAGTTAATGTAACTATTAACATAATTTTACATTTACCACTTATTTAAGGTTTGATTACCTAGCTGCAGTGAACATTCTCAAGACAACTTTAATATACCTGTAATTTTTGGCAGAATAGTTTTTTCAATCACTCTAGGCAAAACTTCTTCATCAGGATCACAATCTCTTTTTGATTCAGATGACTTTTTGGCATTGCTGAATTCTTTTACAGCTCTGAACCAGGGCATCTCTTCCAAGTCTGTAGAATTCTGCTGAAAGATCATTCCTATTAGTTGCTCAGCTGGTCAGGATTGAGAGAAAAAGCCCCATGCAAAAATACATCGAATGATACCAAAAGATTCTCATTTAACAATTTTACATGGATTCTAATCACTGAATGGACCAAAGCAGCAAGCTAAAACTGAATTTAAAGCTAGATTTCAGAGGGTAGGGTTGTCATAATGTCAGCAAACAATATTGCATTAATAAAAATGCAAGTGATTCATATACAAGTAACCTGACAAGAGGAAAAGATGTCCTCCTCCTAGTTAAAACACTTATCAAACTCTGGAATGCCTCTATAGTCCACAAGCAAAGTTCGTGTACAGAAGTCTTCCCTGCAAAAGTCCTGTCATACTTTGAGCTGCCAGAAATACCCACAGATCTTGTCAATTAACAAAGATGAGTACATCAGACAAGTAGGCAAGTGTGCAAAGACAGTACAGACCAGAAACATAGCAGAGCATTGCCTACACAGAAGCCTAGAGGATATAATAATACACAAACACACACAAAATTTTTCACAAAAATAAAGTCTGGTGATACACCTACCTCAAGAGGACTCCAATTTATTAACTGAACTCTGATTAATGGATTTAAAAGCTTAGGCAGGCAAAAACTGATGTAAGCATCACAGTAAGAGTCAGGAAACTTCTCTTTCCACTCCTGGAATTTCAACAGGATTTTTCTGATGTCACAAAAATCTGCGTGGACATCTTCAAAGATTTTCCTACTCTCCTCTAAAATGTTATCTATGGATAATATCCAATAGGAATAAAAAGAAATAATCACAGAATTAATTGAGGCATAAGCTGAACAGTTTATGCATCTACAGAACATAAGAGATATCTTCATGATAACAGCATTTGTGTTTCATCTTTCACACCTTTTACACCAAAATGGGTTTTAAAACCAGCACTCTGGCAAAGCCTTTTTCAGAAAAAAAAATAATACAGAAGACGACAAAAAGACATCTGCAATTTTGAACAACTGCATGGATTTAAATATCCATTACATTTCATATTTTGTATGTCTCTTAAAATCTCAGACACGAAAATCCTTCTTCTGTTATTCAGAAAATATGCATCATGCCTCTCTCAGCTCCTCATGACCTGCTCATTCAGGGCAGTTAAAATCTCAATTTAAAATACATTCCAACTTTGGGGGAAAAAAACCAACAAAACTGATTACACTAAAGAAGCTTACAATCATGTCTGTTCTTCCTAAGTCATTGGTCAGAATCATTTACATGCATTAATTCTATGCTGTAGAAAATAAATCATATACCATTCAAAAGGAGTATTTCTTCACTCTCCTTTGAAAATCCTTCTAAACATCAGAGGAATTTTGTTCTCATTTACTGACCAACCTTTGCTCTTCTGGAATTCAGCCAACTCTGTCACAGACAGTTCATCATCACTCGACATGCCTTCGTGGTGACCAGCTTTTTGTGAATGCTCTCTCAGCTGCCGTCTGCAAGCCCTGCATTTTGTAATGAACTCAGATGAGTTATTCCCCACATACATACATAAAAGGAAGCTCAATGATAGACTAAAAACATGGTGAGAGCAATAGCCTAAGGAAACGCAATCAGGAAACAGAAGTAATTATGCAACACTAGAGACACAGACTGTAACAATAAGGTCCCCACCTGAAACACCAAACACTAACATGGTACTTCACACTATCCCTGATAGAGGTAGTGTACAAGAAACCACTGCTCTCAACAGTCCGTCTTAGTCCTACAAAGCTCATGTAACAACTTGCACAGAAACTGTGACTGCATCCAAGTTTCAGTGGGGCTCAAAAATGTTAGTCCTGGCACTACATACCATATGAGCATGCAAAATCAACAGTTTGCACTGACATGAGAAAATTATATTTATACATATTTGCATAGCATAGATCTTGTATGTAGTTATTGACATCACTTAACATTAAAGGTTAACAGTTTGCTTCAAGCAAAATTTTACTACATCATTTTTCAACCATTAAAACTCTTAAGACCGTAACTGCATCAAATCAGTTATGAGTCAAGGCACCAATGCAACTGAAAGAGTTTCAGAGCTCCCATTAACTTCAGGTCAGCAGCAGACTGAACACAGATATTCAAAATGTACCATCTGGCCTACACTGATAACAGAGGATAGGTTAGATGTTCTGCTGCACCCACTGCCAGCCCAGCAGCAGCAATACCACCTGTCTATTTTTGCTGTTATCTATGCAGCAATCACAAGAATGTATTTCTATATACAATCACGATATTATTTATTCCAGCAGCAGGGAAAATCTGCTCTCAGTTTCATAAACAGTCTCACTTCATCTTACTTTAAATTAATAATACCTATTAACATTCAGATTCCAATCAGCATGAAAAGAACCCCGTTAACAAATAGATGGTTTCCAAATATCTTGAGCTTTTGCATATGCGTGTATAAGCTCTTTTAGTAACCCCACAGATTTACCTTCATCCCTGTGTAAGTGACGGGAAGCAGATATACATTTATTACAGTTAATGCAATTACACATAATAGCTACCTTCGATGCTCACACATTTTCAGAAGCTTCATCTTTTCATCACTTTCCAATCCATCATTAGTTGGTTTGCCATTCCCAGCTACCAGAAGACAGGAACAAGACAAAGAAGTGAATGCAGAACATTGATTCTGCTTCTGCTCTTCATTTGGAAACTAACCAAAGTAAATAAAACCTCCTGATAAAAAATTCTAGCAGTGCCCAGTGTAAAGTACAGTCAATATTATAAGTGAACTGTAGGACAGATGTGGCTATTCCCTTGTGCAGGGGGATTGCCAGGTCACAGCCTGAACCAGCAGGCGAGCACCTGAGTGAGCAGAGGGAGGGACCCCAGATCCACCCTTTCTTTTTCTCCCCTTCTTGGTGATGCTTCCAGCTGCACTTCCCAGAGTGCACACACATTCAGAGTCTACATGGTTTGCACCACCCCACCTGCACACAACTTAGAACCAGAAAGGGCTACATCCCTGAGCTCACTCTTTTTAAGCTTTTGCCAGTTATCAGTCAATTCTTTTTTGCAGTCCCGTTCTACAGTGCCTGCAGTGTTGTATAGTATCGCAAATAAAGGCTCCACATCACCTTTGTTTGCTTTATTATGAAATACCAGCTCACTGCTTTCCAGTCCTGGATGGAAATGGACAGTGCCTACCACAGTCTGTTCCTAACAGTTAAAAGGCAAGTGTAGGGACTGAGCCTGCATGCTAAACATGAAGCCATGCAATGAACCGAGCAGCTATCGGGGTTTAGTTCCAACTTCCAAATTTAAATGTTATTGCATTTAGATTTCAATAGTCAGCTCCCCACTGTTTCCTGTTACTGTGTCCCCTTGTATGTCCCAAATTACCCCTACTGATTCTTCGCTTCAACAGAGAAGTAGAAACTAGAAGCATTTTCTACTTGGGCTGTTCATCTGTATCAGTGTCAGTTGGCTTAAGCGCACGTAAAATATGAAACCAGCTGTCCCTACCGACGTACTGCAGTATAAGAAAAAACAGCATTTCCATTAAATACAACTAGGAACAAACACAACAATTAAAAGCTCTCTTAAACATTCAAGTACAGATTCACTTCTGATAAACTGAAAATAAAACAGTTTTTAAATGGCTGCTACTAAAACAAGTACTCTTCTCCTCTTAGCACCTGCTCTCAGACACTGTGTTACAAAATTATACACGCAGACAGATTTCTCTAGTCAGCACTTTATCCTGTGTATTCAGAAATATGAATCCACCAGTGGCAGTTACAAGAAGTAGGTGCATCTGGTCTCTGACTGTTCACAGCACCTCCTAGCATACTTTTTTTTTTGCTTTCCTAAACAGGTCTAAAGTGGATTTTCTGCTTTCCTTAAACAGCAACAGGTGAAGATTCACTTTACATACAAACAATGCATCAGCGTGGAAATAAAACACAAGATGAGAAAATTGCCATTTTTTCTACAGTAATTAGAAGACAGACTCTATTTTGAATAAAATCTTTACACAAAACAACTTATTTAATAGAATCATAGAATGGCCTGGGTTGCAAAGGACCTCAGTGCTCATCTAGATCCAACCCCCTGCTACGTGTAGGGTCGCCAACCAGCAGACCAGGCTGCCCAGAGCCACATCCAGCCTGGCCTTGAATGCCTCCAGGGATGGGGCATCCACAACCTTCATGTTTTATTTATGTCCTTCCCTTCACTTAACTGCCCAGTCTGAAATCTGCATTTTTAAACACACACTTAGCTTTAAAAACACTAATGTCAAGCAATGTTGACAAGTAACACTTGTCAACACTGCTTTTTAACATACTTAAAAGGAACAGGATCCTCCATCAGGTTAACAACTACTAGAAAACTGACTTCACTTCTCTTTTCAAGTGCTGACAGACAACCATGAGATCAGTAATTCAAAACTGACTAAGCATTTGGTCATGCTGTACTCACTATTATACCACAAAAAAGTGATACTACAAATCTTACTTAGGTAAGGGGTTCAACTAAGGTATTGAGTACAATATGCCTACTGACAACAGAGAGGGAGCAAAGATTAAACATGAACATAAAATATAATCCAAAAATTAACTGTGTTTCTACTTAAAGAGATTTCAATAAGAAAGTAACTTGTAACTTCACACTAACCTGTCAGATGCTGCATATAAGCAGATTCCATTTTCAGCTCATCTTGCCTTCGTTTCAGTACTGACATGGCTCGTTGCTGAAGAAGTGCATGTACAGCAGATTCTAGCTCATCTATGTATTTCAGCTGAAATATAGTAAACAGTAATCAGGTTTGAATAAAGCAAAATGAAAGAACAGTTTCCACTGCCTTTCAAGCATGATGGTGAAAAGAGAACAAGAGTATTAAAGACTGAAAAGCAAGAACCTGCTCATTGGAGTTTTTCAGGCTGTTTAAGATTGAAAACTACAAACTAAATAGGCCAATTGCCTGTTACGGGACTACCTAAGACCCTATCAAAAAGTGTTCAACAGGACACATTTGTGTAATCAGTTTGCTTACAATCTGCCTTTGAACACCTAGCCACCAGAGGATGCGTATCAACCAACACTTGTACACTTCAAAGTTACATAAAAAAGACTCTCAGGCTGCAACACAACTGACATCAATTAGATTGACAGCACTTTCTGTAGAGACTATTTTCAACGAGGTCAAACTTTGCGCAGCATCTGCCAACCTTCAATCTTTTTGTTTATATTTTTTATTAAATACTTAAGGTTTGCAGTTTAGGAAAGCAATACAGCAGATAAATGTAGACAAATCCTCACACAACTCAGCTAAATACCAACTCAAACCTAATGCAAAACCCTTATTACTAGTCACGTGTTGAAAAGCAAATACATTTTGAGATCCCAAAACTGAAAGCACGTCCCACCTCTCATACAGCTTTAAGACATGCTAGTTACTACACTTGAAAACTTCTTCCATTAACATTTTGTTTTTATTCATCACAATCTAGGTGAACCCACAGCCCAAGTCAGTGTACATATTATTTTAGGTTTCTGTGAAGGGTGGTCTGTTTCTCCTTTTGTTTCCTGTTACACTCAAGTTTCTGATAGAACTGATTTATAACTGGCCATCTGTCATCATCATTTCCAAACAAGAAATCTCATTCTTTTGTTGACAAAATGCAAGTTTATCATCTCAAAGAAATGGGTGGCAGGGAAGGGAAGGGAAGGAAAACATACATACTTTTTCATTGAAACAGTTTACTAAGTTTACTACATATGTTTTCATGCCCTTGTAGAATTTGTAATTCATAGCAGCATCCGAAGACTTCTCTAATTCCTGGACAGTAATCTTTGAACTTTCAATGTCCTCCATATATTTTCCATACTCTCTCTGGTGGGCACGGTGCACATCCTGCAATGATGCTATCCTAAAAAAGGAAGCACTCAGGCCATTAAAACCATGACAAGTTAACAGTTAATGCAGTTCTGAACATTTTCTAATTAAAATAAAATACAAAATCTTTGCCTGTGCTGATAATAGCACCTGCATTTGAGCAAAGAATTGCAAGACCTACCCATCAACATTTGTAGAAGCACTGTGAGTGGACAAGATTCATGTTTTAGAAAAATCAAATGTCACTTACGTAGAGATAGTTCTGAAAGTACCCCCACTGACATTTTACCCATATTCCTCAACACAACATGCTCCTAAAGAACATAATAAGGCAAGTCTAAGCGATGCCATACTGAATAGATTCTACCCCAGTTGATGTGGGTAGAACTACAGCATACATCAGTATGTCCATACCAACTTAATTTAAGCTGCAAGGACAGAAGCACATAAGCACTTACCTGGTGCTCATTACCCAGCACAAACCATCTGAAACTTCTTGTTACTAACCTTATAACCCAAAAACTTATGCTTACAGCTCTCATTAGTTATTAAATGAAATACCTCAGAAAAGTTTACATTTATTACAAATCTGCTTTTTTCTTTTCTTAAAAAAAGAATAATAAACTCCTTCGGTATCTCATATATACGTTTGCTCTGTTCGAGAAAGACCTTAACAGAACCCAGAAGCAGACTTTAATTTAATTTGCTTCTCTGAAGGAGGGAACAGATTTCAATGAAAACAATTCAATTATGATGTTCTCCATTGCACCAGATGTTAAAAAAAGGAAAAGAAAAAAAACAGCCTTTAAAAGTTATTTCAGCATTTAAGACATTAAATACATCTCTAAGGCTTAATATTACCAAGCTATTACTACCAAACATGTTCTCCCTCCCCTTCTTGTTACTTTCCAAACAGGTTTTCCACTCTTGATAGCCTTTCACATTTGATTGTACTTGAACTCCCACTTCATTTCATTCCTTTCTTTCGGGTGATCAAGGCAAAAAAAAAGCATACAACTCCACAGAAATATTTAGTCCACCTCAGTTGCAATTCTTTGAACACAAGCAAGCCAGCAGCAGTCTGTACAAAAGCGTATACGTGCACAGAGATTCACACAAGTTAACAGTACACATTTGTGTTTCAGCTATATGATGTTACTCATCTGAACTGATCAGAACAGCTGCTTCTGGCTGCATCAGCGCTGAGAGGTGATGGGGATGGCTTTCTTGGTAGCTTCGGATACTTGACCCCATCTGTCCTTCTCACACACTTGGAAGTTCCCACCTCTGCTCAGCACATTTCAACTGCCCACTGCCTTGTCTAAACTGGCTAGAGAAGAACCACAGTAGAAGGATGACAACCCTATCTACCCTGAGTGAAGTCCTCCTTCCTTGACAAACAAAACGTTGTGCCTACACTCCTTTAAGAACTACTAGCATGTAGAATAAAGCAGCAATGCAAGATTTTTACAAGTGATAAAATGCTTGAGAAGTCCAAACACAACCGTACAACAAAGCATTGTCAGGTAAAGTTAAAAATCTGTAATGCTATGCTAAACATTACAATAAGCACAATACACAACCAACCCCAAAACCCTTCAATATTCAGAAGAAAGAATAAGACTGTCATCACTTTGTGACAAAACAAGCGTCTCAGAAATTAACACTAAAAGCAGTATTTACCTTTCAGTCAGTTGCTTTTTTATAGTTTCCAAGTTCACAGGTGGTAAGGAAACACAGGGACCAAATGTGGGTTTAGCTGGTTGAGATTTATACAGGGAAGCATCACTGTAAGTTTCCTAAGAGAATTGCAACACTTTCAATACATGCAAATTAAATATAAGTTGATACACAACTGATACAAGTTTTGCCTCTGCAGCTTTTGAGATCAACAAAATGTACCACTTGAATGCATAAAGCATATAATAAAAAGATGTATATTTCAATGATCAAATTGGGTAATTTCTGTACAACATAAGAACTGTGTATAAATACACAGAAAGCTGTGTATTTATAGTGTACCAATGCATACACCATGCACATCCACCAGTACAAAACAATTTAGGTAATTTAGGGCAAAGCAGCTCTCCTCTTAGTCTGAAGACATTAAGAGCTTCCATCAATATATAATGGTTCAATACTGATGGCTGAAACCACACTAGTATTACTATTCTAAATATATAAAGTGGAAATAAACTACAGGCAAGCAACAAAGATAAAGATAAAACTTTCATTCTGACAACTTGGCTTGACTGTAATTATAACTAAGAAAAAGAAAATAAAACATGTCCAACCATTTTAACATATAAATTAAATGACATTATGCATTCTAAAGCAGCAGGAGTTTGTAAGGTAAAACCTAGACCAAATACAATGACTTGAAGTAATCAAGTCCATGACCAAGGTCTGTAACTAAAGACTTCTGCAATCTTCTGAACAGCAAAAATAAAGGGGTTTCCAGAAAAAAAAATGGAGTACAAGGACCCAAGAACACCAGTTATACTGGATTTGAAATTCAGCAGCAATCTTCCCAATCCTCTAACCACTCCCATTTGGCATGCCTTTCCCTTCTGACACAAAGAACTGGTAACTCAAGTTTTCCTAGTCTGATACAGAACAGAAGATTCAAGCCAAAAACAAAACTTCCAGCTCATCAGAAAAAACATTCTTGCCAATTATTTAACAGAAAAAAAAATAAAAAATCTCATGCCTATGAGCAAATAGCAAATTTCAACAGTTAGGAGAGCACATATATCACCTGAGGGAGTTTGACAGCTTTCTTAATTTGCTGTTCTTCCCACTTTGTTTCTGCTTCATCTTCACTTGATTCATCACTCACAGGCACTAGAAGTTAAATCAATCATTAGTACACATCATTATGCCCTTTACCTATTTCCCTACTCCTTACCCAACCTCCTTCAAAAACAATAATGCTTCCCACAGCCACTACAAGTGTTAGAAACAAATGACAGCAGATGAAAAGCCTGTACACAAAGACCATTTTCAAATTGGAAGATTTAGAAATGGCAACTGGATTTTGCAGAATCCATGTTCATTTACCCAACAGTTTCCCAGATTACTGCAGTACCAGAAGAACAAAGATCAAATGTATCAAAGCAAACCTGCATATTAGACTTTGAATACAGTTAGACTACAACATGGGCATTATACACAGAAAATCCTTAACTGTTCTAAGATACACAATCTACTACAGACAGAAGTTTCTCCATAGCATTTATTACAACAATAGAATCAGATCATAACTACACATTACTTACAACCATTATCCAAATAAGAAAGCAACTTGTCCACAAGCCTGGCAAACTAGTGCTTTGTGAGTGAAACTACAAACATCAAGACGAGTTAAGAAGCAACAGAAAAGACACATACACTTCACATGCAGTAAGTCTGCTTACTTCCAAAGGGCTGGGTTGCTGTGGTTGGTTGTTTTTTGTTTGTTTCTTTTTACCCCTTTTCAATAACAGTCGTAATGTCAGTGAATGGAAAGCAGGATAACATCCCATACAAATCTCAAGGACCAAGCTTTATGGTCTTCTTCAAGATCAAGAGCAAAACCTTGCACTGCACTCTTTAGTGGGCAAGGCTCACATTCTTGCAGACATCAGTAAAAGAAAGACACAGCCTCTGGGAGAAAAGGCACAAACTCACCCATGTGTTCAGCCATCCTTTGCCTAAGAGATCTCATTTTGGGAACAAAATGGAGATTATTCATATAAGACTCATCCTCGCTCTCTGAATCACTGCTTTCTCTTCTCCGAGAAGGCTGACGGACATTTGAAACATCCAAGGGAAGATAATCAGCTTGGGGCCTGGCCAGGCGACACCTCCTCTGAGCAGCCACAGTACAGCCTGCACTGGGGACACAGCCTGCACACAAGAGAGACAAAACCTAATCAAAGACTAAAAGCAACACTATCACTCCGAGGGTAAATAACCACCAAAATACAGGTTCACTGCACAATCCTGAATTGAAAACTGTTTTTCTTAGAAGCTTACCATACTGAATATACACAAATGGAAAGAGATCCTTAAAAAACAGCTCTTAACCTGAAAACAAACCTCGGACCTTTTTCTTTCAAATAAATCAGCATCCTGTCATTTTTCTAGCTCTTTAAAAGATCAAGACTACAACACCAATCGAGTTTACAAAGGAATTCAAACTTCACTAATAAAACAATAGATAAAGTTAATTTTTATCTCAAAGTGAATTATGAATCATTAAATAATGTTTCACTGCTTTTGTATTTCTTCCAGTATCAATGGTTATAATTTCTAATCTACTTCCTGAAACTCACACAGAATTATGACAAACACCTGCAACCAAAAACACCAAGCAACTGTCACTATTCTTTCAAGACAGCCCTGACTCGGCATAAACAACTTCAAAATGTCTTAAAAATGTCCATGAAACTGACCTGGCGATAAATCCTTCCTCCTCTGAGATGGGTTGGATTCATTTTCAGAGTCTGTGCTATTGTAGTCCTCACTTAGTGAAGAATAATTCTCTTCCTTTGCCTCTATAGCATCTTTAGTGTTGCCAGTCCCAGGCTCCAACTGAGGTATTTCTGTTTTAAGAGAAAAAGGTAAGATTCGTTATTTTGGTTTCAGCTGCTGGAAATGATGCTCCATTTAACTGGCTACCAGCAACCATTCAGACTACAATGAAACAATGACTAGACACAGATCTACCTCCACCTGATCTTATCAAAGCATGCCAAGCCTTCATACTTTTCAATAAAAGTGCTTACAAGCCAGATCTTATCTGGAATCGAGCACCTGTGTTAGTGCTGAACAAATATGACCTCAGTTGTATGTACAAAAGCTGCACAAGAGTTCCCAGATGCCATCTGATCTGTATCCTGATAGGTCACAGCGTTGTTTTTTAAACTGTATGTCTATAAGGGAGCTGCTATTCGTTCGGATTTAGCACACTAACCACGAGGGACAGCTTATTTCATTTATAACGGTTTTTGCATGTCTTGTCTACGATTACCTCAGAATTCTTAAAAAAGAAACAAATTGATTTATCTTTGCCTTTCACTACATCTTCTGTAGATTATCAGATTATTGAACAGAATACACCACCTAACAATGAGGCATACTTTTAAAAAAGTATTTAGCTGAACCACAAGAGAATAAATTACATCGAAAAACCATTTCCCAATGGCACTACAGCATATCCATGAGCTGACAAAGGTTTCAAGAGGGTGAACAGAAGGGAGGAAAACATTTTAGACACTTGTAAAGCAGGCAAGCCCCAGACTTCCCTCTAGTAAACTTTACTATGGTTCAACATGATTCAGAATACTACAAAACAATCCAAGGTGTTGATAATAGTCAATTAAAATATATTTTAGCAGTGAATAGTGTTTTAATAATACTACATTTGGAGTTTATCATACATTCCATCAAAGTCCTACTAGGCTTACATTTTCTGTAACACAAATATTCAGTTTAACTTCAAATTGATAGTGACAAGCAGGAGTAGCTGCCAAAAGGTTTGAAAGATGGGATGCTGAGACACTCATTTATCCCAAGTCCCACCATCTCCGATTTACTGCAGAGGTTCTGCAGACCCAGATCTTCTCAAGAAGAATTTCCAAGCTCTGATCCTGTTTTACCCAAATTCGCATTAAAACCCCAAGTCAAATAACAGACAGAAGACACCTAGCAGCAGTATTTGCACAATATTCTTACTTATTTCACGATGTTCTTACAGAACTAATGCTAACTTTTTTTTTTTTTTTTTTAACTTAAAAAGCACTTACTTTTACTTTCATCGACTTCTCTTCCTGCAGACAGCGGGCTTTTCTTCTTTTGAATTCTAAATGTCACTTCATTGAAGGATGGCTTTTTGATTTTAAAAACTCCCTCATCACCTGGACAGACAGAATGGTTCTGAGTAACACTAACAGAGCCAACAACACACGGGCATGTACGTGCAAAGCACACAATCCTGATACACACACTCAGCATAGATTTTGAGGCTTCAGTTGCATTGCGTCTCCCTAATTCTGCGGCCCCGTCACTCGAGATCCAGCACTGCTGAATTTACATCCTACGTCTTCGCAACACGACAGACGAGCTCTAACATTACAAGACAACCTCCCTAAGCTGCCCAGACTGTCATCCACCTACTTATTTGTCATTGTCATTTACACACACGCACACGCCGCCCCGGGGCTAACTAGCCCCCCCACAGTCGCCCACCTCCCCGTTCCTCCTCGTCGCTCCCAAAGCTCAGCACCGCCCCAGCTCCCCGTGTCGGCTCCGCCGAGGGCAGCGGTCGCTCCGCGGCGGTTCGTGCCCCGTCAGAGGACGAGGCGGCGCCACCACGGTCCCCGTCGCTCTCCCCAGACTCCGCTTCCTCATCGGGGTCGCGGCCCGGCGGTAGGGCGGAGGCCGATCCCCGCTCGTCATCGCTGCCGCAGCTGCTGCCGCTGGAGACCGCGCGCTGCCGGCCTCGGAAGTTGCGCGGGGCCCGGCGGAACATTTCCCGGGCCCGCCGCGCTCAGCCTTCGCACGGCGCGTGCGCGATGACGCAAAGCGCCGCCTTGTCCAACCGCGGGGGAGGGGGCGGTGCGTGCGGCAGTGCCGATCAATGAGGGTGAAGGGGCGTGACTGCGTTGTAACGGCGGGGGGGGGGGCGTCGCGCGTGGTTGCAAGTCGCAGGGCGGGAGAGTCGTTATGACTGGGAATGATCTGCGGGGTCACGTGGTAACTGCAGCCTGCCCGCACCGCGCCCCGGAACAGCGGCCGGCAGCGCCGCATCTCCGCTGTTCTTCAGCACCTCCGAGCAGAGCGCTGCCATCCCGGGCACTGCGCTGCTAAACCGGGTGCTGCGCTGCCATCCCAGGCACTGCGCTGCTAAACTGGGCACTGCGCTGCCAGCGCCTCGCCACTCTTTCCGTGAAACTCTTTTTTCTAATATCCAGCCTGAACCTTCCATGGATTGAAAGGCGAAAGGACCGTGCGTGCGTTTGATGGAAAGCAGGTGCATAAAGACAATGTGAAGGGCTGTGCCTGCTCGTGGCGGGGCTGCTGTGCTGGGTCCTCCCGCTGAGCTGTATCTTGCTAAGCAGCATTCAAAAGCTGCGGTACGCTGGGTACGGGCAGGTGCCAGCTTCACTCTTATAGGACACCAAATTGTAAACTGTTTTCACAGTGGCCTTTAGCTGCAAAGCACGGCGGCGGCCGCGGTTCCTCGCTGGGGAGCTGTAAGCTGAGCCCAGCAGTCACCTGCTCCATTCACAGCGGTAATCTCAGGCCTTTTGCTGCACTCAGCATTTTGCTGTGTCAGCACTGAAATCTGTGCTCCCTTGTCTATTAGAAAGATTACCAATTGCTTTTGATGACAGGCTCATCCATCGATAAACCTCCCCTTGCTAGACAGGAAGACCCAATTGCCTACAGGTCATTATTCTTTTTTTTTTCTTTTCTTTTTTTTTTCCTTCTTCACGTCGGTATGGGAACTGTAAGGTCACGGCCTGAACCAGTGATGGAGCAGCTGGTGAGGGGTGTAGCCTTGTGAGCACAGGTGAAAGCAATGCACCTGTGAAACCAGATGGGGCTGAGCCTGGCTCCACCCTTCCCTGACCTCATTTAAGGGCTGGCAGCCAGAAGGGAAGCATCTCTACCTACCTGGAGACTGCCTCCTTTGGGCTGTAGGGTGAGTAGTTCTTTCTGTGCTATATGATTGTGATCTTTGCTTTTCTTGGGGGATCTGAAACTGGTTTGAAGAAATTGTATCTCATAGGAGTTGATGTGCATTTCTTTTTTCCCACTACTGCTTTGTTCCTAGAATGTTTTAATCGGCTCTAAGATAGTGCTGGTATGCTGACCATGCAGCTCTAGGAATGCCCTTTTCTATAAAGGGATTTTGCATACTTGAGGTTTTGTTTGTACAATTTTTTTTTTTAAATTTATTTCTTTCAGTTCTTTCAGTTGAGCCTCTGTTCCTTGTTTCACAGGTGGGGCTTTAAACTTACAATATTCCTGACTGCCGTAGGAAGCAAAGGAGAGACCTTTTCCCCATTGTAGGAATAGAACAGATATTCCCAATACCATGCCCCTCTGAGCTGACTGGGGTGGTCAGATGGGCAGCAGCCTGTCACTGACCACACATAAGGCCTTGCTGACATAGTAGGATATGTCAGCATATGTTGACTGTGGTAGTACTTGTGGCAGCGGATGGTAGAAGAACTCCTGGTCACAGTGCAGGACATACAGGATGGCAGTGCCCAGCACAGAAACAACAGTCAGCTGCAGGCAGATGATCCTGTAGGGTAGGAGAGGGCTGGGAATGAGGCAAGCCAGATGTGTCCCTACCCCAGAGCAGCACAGTCCCACGCAGTGCTAGAGGGGCCATTTGGGAGCCCTGCCAGCTGCTGGAAGGGTCCAGGCCATCAGCCCACTGCCAGGATATTAGCAGCTGGGCACAGGGCAGTGAGGGGGCACTTGCTGTGTCCAGAGGGCAAGCCCATGTCTCCTCACCTGCTGCTCCTCCTCCTGTAGGTGAACAGAGGGCAGGGACACAGATCCAGCCTTGCTGTACTGGGCCCTCCAGCCCTCAGCTGGGGCTCGTGTGGGAGAGCAGGAGCACAGCAGCACATCTGCAGTGCTGCAGGGATCCCCATCCCCAGGGATACCCGCATTGGATGGGGGTGTGGTGGACTTTGCCCCTTACTAGTTAGGCCTTCAACATGTTGGGCAGCATAGTCCTAGGCTGCTCAGCTGCCTTTAGCTCTGCCTGGTGCTGCTGCCTGCAGGGAGCAGGGCTGGCTAGGGAGTGCTGGCCTCCATCACCATGAGGACACCCCAGGATTGGAACTCGTGGCCACTGCAGTAAAATAAGAAATCCTTTTATGAATACATCCTTGGTAAGAGAAGAACCAAGGAGAACTTCTATCCTTTACTTGATGCAGCGGGAAGTGTGACCACTGAGGATGAGGAGAAGGCTGAGGTCCTCAATGCCTTGTTTACATCTGCCTTTAATAGGCAGATCAGTTATCATCAGGGCATGTTACGCTCTGATCTGGAAACCTGGTGTGCTACGCAGGATACACCCTGGTGATTCAGGTGGAGACAGAGAGCTCCTCCTCATCTGGACTGTCACAAGTCCATGGGACTGGATGGACTCCATCCTAGGATGCTGAGGGAGCTGGCGGGGGTGATTGCCGGACCACTCTCCACCATCTACTAGCGCTCCTGGTTATCTGGAGAGGTCCCACAGGATTGGAGGCTTGCTGATGTGACTCCCACCTACAAGAAGGGCTGTAAGGAGGATCTGGAGAGCTACAGGCCAGTCAGCCTGGCCTCGGTACCCAGGAAAGTTATGGAGCAAATCATCTTGGGTGAGATCACATGATGTGTGTGGCGTCCAGGAGATCAGGGCCTACCAGCATGGGTTCATGAGAGGCAGGTTGTGCTTGACCAATCTCATTTCCTTCCATGACTGAGTGACCAGACTGGTAGATGAGGGTGAGGCTGCTGAGATGCATTCTCCCTAGCCTTCAGCGGAGCCTTTGACACGGTCTCTCTCAGTATTCTTCTGGGGAAATTGGCTGCCCGTGGCCTGGACAGATATACCCTTCTTTGGATAAGGAACTTGCTGGAGGGCCGTGACCAAGAGGTAGTGGTTAGTGGAACTAAGTCCAGCTGGTGACCTGTTACAAGTGGTGTCCCCCAGGAGTTGGTACTGGGGCCCATCTTGTTTAATATCTTTATTGATGAACTAGATAAGGGCACTGAGTGCACCCTCAGTAAGTTTGCAGATGACACCAAGTTTGGAGGTGATGTCAATCTGCCTGAGGGTAGGGAGGCCCTTCAGAGGGATCTAAATAAGCTGTATTGCTGAAATGAATGGGATGAGGTTCAGTAAGGTCAAGTGTTGGGTCCTGACGCTGTGATGAGGAGGGGTTAGGCCTCTTCTCCCAGGCAACAAACAGGACCCGAGGAAATGGCTGGAAGTTGTACCAGAAGAGGCTTAGGTTAGATGTAAAGAACTTTTTCTCTCAGAGAGTAGACAGGAACTGGAATGTCTGCCCAGGGAGGTGGTGGAGTTGTTGTCCCCGGTGGTGTTCAAGAGATGTCTGGATGAGCAGCAACAAAACATGGCTTAGTGCTTGTGGTAGCAATGGTGATGGGAGGATGGCTGGACTAGGTGACTTTGCAGGTCATTTCCAACCTTGCGATTCTATGATCTGCATGGGCAGATTGTAGGTTGGGAGCCAGGAATGGACACGGCAGCAGGAGAGAGGTGTTAGGGAGCAGCCAAGGCATCAAAATGCATCAGAAAACCCTGAAAAGCATCACAAAGCCACAGCCAGGAAGCTTGGGATTATCATGAGCAGCATCCAGGATGCTAGGGATTACTTGCTACCGTACCAGATAGTAGCTGCAGACATCCCAAAGCCAGACAAAACGGGAACAAACCCGGAGCTCTGCTTCATGCACTCCACAGCCGCAACATTGCAAGCTGAGGTGCCTTGCTGTTTGTTGCATTCATTCCAATCCCTGTGAATGAAGACTCCACAGGCAGTCAAGGCGTTGAGTGAATACGAGCGTGCTTTTATTATTATGTCAAAGACAGGAGGGCGTGAGAGGTCCAGGTAAAGATGGGGATCATCCTCTCTTGGATGGAAAGGTCACAGAGAGAGTGGCTCAGAGCTTTCAGTGCTGCTGCCCAGTGCCTGGGACTGGAGGCCTGATTCTAAGTCCCCCTCCAATAGGCTCTGCTTCTCCTCACTGATGCTGACTTGCTCCTGCATGGAGGTGCTGCTGTCGGGGCGCTCGGACTGTGCTTGGGCTGGGCTGCACTGCAGAGGCACTGGGTCACAGTCCAGGCTGGTGACTGTTTCTGGCAGGCTCAGGTCAGCATCTTCAGCAGAGCTGGGAGAAATGAGGGCTTGAACTTGGATGAGCTCCTTGTGTCTGTCACCGCTGTTATGTGGAAGGCTGTCATCTGAACCGCAGCGATTTGTGCTTCCTAAGAGCTCTCCATTGATGGAAGCACACAGCCCATCATCGCTACTTGCTCTGACTTTTCTGGGTTGACAAGGGCTCGATTCACCTAAGAAGGATGCCAGAGGATGGTGTCAAACTTTCACAAGCTGAATTATGAAAGTGGTTTTTGATCAGGGGTGAACTGAAGGTGTTAGGTATGGGCTGGAACGCTAGAAGGAGATACAAGCCCGCTGACAGCATGAATTCTCTGTTGCTGAGAAAAGCAGGGTTTTGGAAGCTGGATTTGCGCCCTTACCTGCCAGGACTACAACTTCTGTTTCTGAGGGCTCCCTGGCATTGCGCAGCAGTTGGTGTTTGGCCACAGAGGATGGTTTCTGCAGGCCGAAGCAGGAACACCAGCTTCCAGCTGGTGATTCCTTCATCTTGCTGGGTGGACTTTGTCTGGAGAGAGAAAACAGGGAATGGTGTGAGTTGTGCGGGGTGATGCAAGAGCTGCACTGAGCTCTTGCCAACAGTTGCTTGTTCCTGGCACCACCTGGTTTCTGCTGAAACACAACTTAGAAACTCGCTCTGTTTCAAACAGTTGAGGATGGTTCTATTCCCAGAGCTCAGCCCTGAAGTCTTGCTGGCTAAATTCCCCAAAACTATGTCAAGCAAGATGCAGAGCATGTGAGCAAAGGCTTCAGCTGTACAGGACAGCATCTAGGGGATGGTTTTATTGAGCTGCCAGGTGTAACTGCTTTGTGAGGAATTGTGTAGCCATAAAGGGAGTTCAAAAGCATCTCTGACATTGACAGCTCATTGGCCCATCTCACTGCCATGTTTAGTTATTTGCTGGCACTAGACTGACCAACAGCTCTGCTTTGAGGAGAACCGGAATTGGTTTCAGGCACTTGAAATCCGGAGAACTCTAACGTTTCCAGGTACAGCTGGCACGGGCCAGGATAGATGTCAGTGTGGCTTTCTACATCTCATGACTGCCTGCCTAGCAAGGAAGGAATGGCAGCCTTGTGTGGCTAAACTAAGCCCGTTGGGCAACTGAATGTTAGTTCAATCTCACAGTCCAAAGGGAGTAGAGATTCACTGCAACACCATTAGTTTAATTGAGTTTCAGCAGGTTTGGCACTAGAAATAATGGGGAAGGGGGGGAACAAAAAAAAAAAAAAAAAAAAAAAAAAAAAAAAACACAAAAAGCCACCCAAATAATGATGATAGGTGCTGGAAAAGGAAGTCCTCTTTACCTTTCAGATGGAAAGTCAATGACTGTGTGGAATTTTCCTGGCAAAGTTGCGGGGCCTTCTTCCACTTCTATGTCCCTGCTCTCTGTCATGACGGGAGAGCTGCTGTGGCCTCGCCTCTGAGCCTGTGCGTCCTCCAGGGTGAGCAGCTCTGTGGCAGGAGAAGACACCCACACAGACTTGGGCCCTGAGAGAGAACTGTCCCCTGTAAGGGAAAACCACAGGTAAGAGTGAGGATCAGAAAGCGGCAGCACAGCCATCACAGTTCTGGGGGAGGTGCTGTATTTTTCTCAGATTTGCTTATCCGAGCCACTGGAAGAAGAGGAGCTTGAAATAACCATGTGGTCAGAGGTGTGTTTATGGCAAAGGACAAAGTCATAATTAATGAACAGCTCACTGTATCGAAGCAAGCAAACAAAATCCCTAGAAAATGGGGGCAGGGAACTGAGAGAGCTTTGCTGCCACACTTTCATCAAGCTTCGCCTGCATTCAAAACATCATAATAACAGTGATGGTCTTCTTGTCAAGTTTGGGCTTGGACATTCTCAGCATCCAGCAACAGGATGCCATATTCTAATCTAAGGTCAGAAGTCTGCTGTCCCCTCGATAGTAAAAGTGTATTTCAAACATCTTGGAGAAGGCCTGCATTTGATTGAGGTGTCTGATCAAGATAAAGCTAATGGAGGAAGACACTCACCTGCTCCATCTGCAATGTCAGATCTGGACTTGGAGCAGAAGAGGACGTCTGTGTGGTTGATGATGAATTCCACCACAGCTGACTGCGTCTGCAGTTCCATGCAGGCAGCTCCTCCGCTGGTGCAGGCAGACTCATTCTGCTGTGATCTGTAGAAAAGGCAGGTTTTAGAAGTCATTGCTCCAAGATCGTTTCCCCAAGTCTGAATTGTTGCAGCCTAAAGCTGTCAAATTGGGCTCTGGAGACTTCCGCAGTGGGCAACCAGTGATGCCACTGAAGAAATTCTCCTGGCTGATCAAGGACACACCAGTCCCATCTAAACAAGAGAGCAGAAATGGTCATCTAGAAATTGTGCTCGTGGGGTTGGAGAACAGTCCAGGCTCCTCATCTGCTGTCAGCCACTTACTACAGATTTTACAGGAGAAGAGCACATTTGATGGAGGAAAAAAGGAGGACTGCTTTATTTTACTGGAGACCAGATCTTAAGCGTTCCGTTGAAACGGAAAAAGAAGTTTACCTTAAGAGGTTTGGAGCCCACACAATGGCTAAGTTCTTAGCGTGCATGTTTGTGATAGAGCAGTTCCCAGCCAGACAAGCCAAGTGTCTCATCAAGTACTCCAGTGTCCTGGAAAACAAGAGAGGCGAATGTTCAGCACCAACAAGCATGCCATGCTGCAATTCACAAAGCAAATCTCCATTCACGCTAGTTGTTGTTACTGCTACTGTCACTGAAGATGAAGTAGATCCAACTTGACTAAGTGCCACGCTGCAGCACCAAGCCCCAGCACAGCTGCAGCCATCAGCTGCACCAAGCGTGCAGCCCCTGTGCCCAGGAACTGACTCCATAAATTAACCCCATGTAGCCTAAACCGCTTCAGCATACACAGGCTTCATGTTGCTAGCCTGAGACAAAGCCTTGAATCGCACCATTGCCCTCTGAAATGCAGCAGGGCTTAGCTCAGCAGACTGAGGGCAGCACTGACCTGTAGTGAGGAGCGGGCAGCTGCTGTATGACATCCTGCATTCTGATCAGCTGCTCCTCATCTGTAGCGGCACCAACAGCATCCTGGAATAGTGCAGAAAGGGATTGAGACACAAATCAGGCTAGATATCTGCCCCAGGGTCGGGAACTATGGGGACAGTGAGCTGTTGGTCAGCACCGAGGCACATTTGATGCCTTCCAAGAGGCATCTGGGGAACATAGCGGCATGCAGCTGGTGCCACAAAGGCCAAGGAGTCCAAGCGCTGGGCTGGTTTACAGCCTGGTTGGGCAGCTCAGCTCCTCGCAGTGGCCATTCATCTCCAAGTACACTTTGCTACTGATCTCATTCCTGTTCTGTAAATATTTGGGGAATAGCAAAAAAAAAAAAAAAAAAAAAACAACAAAAACAAACAAACAAAAAAAAAAAACAAAAAACAAAAAAAACGCGGGAATTCTCACAAGCACTGTGAACATGGAAACAATCACCTATTGGCACCACCAAAAGTGGCATCAGTATGACGCAGGATGTGGCAAAGGCATGCAAAAGTAAACCTCAAGGGGCTAACAGAAAAAGGGCCTCAGAGCTGGGGCACTGCTGCAGCCATCTCTCAAGAGATCCAGGGAAGAGGTAGAGCAAAGACGTTGCCTTGTGCTTACCGAGAACTTGTCATACAGCTGGTTAGTCAGCAGAGGGTTTGGGAGCTCCCTGAAGTACATCTTGCAGAGGGAGCTCACACTGTGAATGTCACGGATGGTTAGCTCAGGAATCTGCTCAGACTCAAATTCATGGCTGGAGAGGACACAAAAATGGTTGAGAAAGAGGAAAGCAAGTAAAAAGCCGCACCAAATGCAATCAAGAATGGGAAGGGTTTCCTGATTTACAGGAGAAAACAGTCGGTCACCAGCGCCATGTGAACCGTGCTGGATGGGATGTTTCCAAAAGGAGAACTTTTCTTTTTGCTAAGGCATTTCCTGCAGGACTCTGAACGCCCACAACAGGGCACGCACCCCTGCTGACAGCTGTGTCAGTCACAGCACTCTTACCGAAGTCTCTGGATATTGGATGCGACGCCGGACAGCCGGTATATCCCCTGCACCACGCCGTGCTGCTCAATGAACTCAGCGCAGCTCTGGAGGACCTGGGGGACTAAAGAACACATGCCAGCGGTTACTTGAGCTCCTTATTCAAGCCCTGGTTCAGGCTGTGCTTTTGTCACATCCCATCTGCTAAGCCCAGCCAGACTTGGTTTAAGCAAATACAAATGTGCTTGTCTCTTAGGAGCATTCGCCTCACTTTATCTTTCAGCCACCAACTTCCATTACCTGTTTCTCCACTGGTATCAGCCTGCCCCTTGCTAGATATCATCTCCCTTTCATCTTTAGATTCCCTGCAGAGGAAGATCTCAGGAACGGGCTGTCCCTTACCATCACGACCAGAGTGGAGAAGATGCTCTCCCAGGTCACAGCCAAACACCCTTTCCTTCTCCACCTCCTGCTCTTTCAGCTTCTTTGGGTGGGCCTTCACGAAGGAACGAAGGAAGGTGATCAGCTTGCCGCGTTTCTTTGGCACTGCACAACAAAAGGAAGAAACCAGTTCATTTCAGGTTTGGCTCAGTAGGACGAGGCTGAGCACAGTACAATTCTACAGAGCGTGTCAAAACAGGAAGAACATTACCAACGAGTACATACAGAAACGGATTTTCCCCATCCCTGGAGGAGTCCAAGGCCAGGTTGGATGGGGCCCTGGGCATCCTGGTCTAGTCCCGTATTAAATGTGGACACTGGAAGCCCACCCTGAGGCAGGGGGTTGGAGCTTGATGATCCTTGAGCTCCCTTCCATCCCAAGCCATTCTATGAGGATTCTAGGATTTCCCCAAGTCCAGTCATAAACACGGGAGGATTGGGCCACATGTCTGCGCGTTCCAATGGAGCTTAATGCACTCCTCTTGCTTAGCTTGCTCAACCTGGGGATTAAGGATCCTCTTGAAAAGCCACATTCTGATCAAGTGTATCACTAGCATAACCAGACCTCTATCTGTCCACCACGGACACTGGCTGTTCTCAGCCTCGTACTGACTTGCTGGAGAACTGTCTTTGCCCTCCCTTATTCTCAGTGCCTACAAAACAGCAGCCATATGCCCCGTGGTATGTATGAAAAGGATCATCAACACAGAGGATAACATAGGATGGATAAAGGAGGTATTAAACACAGAACACACCCCAAAAAAACTCCACTTTGCTTCCCTGCACCATTAAATGTAACATCCGTACCTGGCTTTGGCACTGAATTGATGAGAGACTCCGGAATTTTTTCACCAATGAGCTCCACACACTCGCTGGGGAAAAATCCAACCTGTAACAAGAACAAAAAGAGAGGTGCAATACTGAATGCAACATTTCTCAGGCCTGAACTGGTAAACCAAAAACCAAGTAACATTTTCCTCGGAATGTGCTTTCCGGACGCTCCATGAGACTATCCAACAGAAAATGGCCTGCTTAGAAGTAATAATTATTCAACGTCTGCAGCCAAAAGATCCAGAAAACTGCGTACGGAGCAGGGAGAGGATGAGTATGCTATGCACCCCTGAATCCCAAGCGTACCTGGACAAAAAGACTTCATATAGAAGTTATATATTGTGATAGATGCAGCTTTATCTGAGTTAGCACAGCCTATGAAATTTCTTGCTGACTGAGATGCAGCTGCGATCCCCAGCTCTGAGCTACCCAGCAGCAGCAACAAGCATGCCGAGGGTCTGTTACCCTACCTCAGCTGACAGGCAGTAACTTCCTAAAAGACACTAAGTTCATGTTCCACATGTGTGCAAACACAGATGCTCTGACACTGAAAGCCATGTCTTAGCTGCTGTATTTCCAAAGGTGCAGTTCAGTGGCCGTGACCTGATACATGTTGTGAAGGCTCTTGCTTCTAAGTTAACTGAGAAGGCAGTTTCCTACAAAGACCAACTTTCAGCACTGGCCCAAGCCCACAGCAAAAGGGAAAGTTCTCTGACACCGACACAGGGAAACTGTTTACATGCATAAGCCATTCTGTGCAGGCAGAACAGCTCTGAGCTGAGATTCCTGCCTTTACTGAAGTTGCGCTTGTGCCTACCTGAAAGCCATGCTTGCCTCTCCACCAGGGGGTCAGCTCCTTTGGTGGCATAGCAATAATGCACACGATGTCTCCCACCTGCAAGAGATTGTAACGTCAGTCTCAGCTTCAGCACAGCTGGGAGGAAAGCACAGCTCAAATGACTGCATTCTTCTGCACTGCCAAATATCGCCAAGCTTGAGAGCAATTGCACCAGTGCAGCTCTTAAGGCATTTGCCTTTGTACAGCTGAACTTGGAGGCAGAAGAGTCACTACGTTACACAGCAGCAGGCTCTCTGCCAAAGGGGATGGAAGAGCTCCAGTTATCTGCAGACATAAGTTAGCAGGACAGATACTGAACAGGTCTACACACTCCATACACTGGTCTGCTGTTGCTCAGAGACCAGGCTACAGATACTGAGCAGTATCTGATCAGAAGATTCAAATGCCAACTAAAGCCATATTTTAGAGATGGCTGAATTCCTCCCTGCATCCAACCCACTGCAAGTCTAATCTGGAACTGCATCTTCTGGGCTTCACTTCACAAAACATTCTGAAGGTGTCTGAGAATATTCCTGATTTATTCACACCTTATGGTCTTCTGCACATGACAACTAGGAACACCTTTAACTGCTTACCTCAAAGGACAATTCATCTGGTGCCTGGGCAACATATCTCTTAACAGCATGAGCAGCAGCAATAGCTGGAATATTAAGAGGTGACTCCTCATGGACCAGCAGGGGCTTCCCCTTGTTCTCAGTCTGAAACAGAGAGCACAGGCCACAGTGAGGAGCTGAGGACAAACGAGGAAGATTTCAGGCTGAGGAGCACATCAGCAGAGAAAGATGCAGGAAATGCACTCGGTCCTTATCATGAGCACATAAGAAGGAACGGCAAGTCTAATAACAGTTGTTTCACTTCCTGGTGTGCAGCAGGCACTCGCCAGGCAGTGCCAATGCCGATGTCTTTCTCTACCCAGACTAATCAGCAATGGCACTGACCCAGATAGGTGGCCTTGCCCATTTTGTCCCATCCTTTCCTGTGCTCTTTGTCCAGGAAGGTCAATTGTTTAAGATGCTAGGAGACCGTTAAGAGGGAAACGAAAGCTACGGCTGCAGTTCACAAGGTGCAAACGGTGCGACTGCAAGCACAAAGCAAGCTCTCTTGAGCAGTTCAACAGCAACAGTGAGGCCAAACAGGAGCAGACAATGTTTGTTGTTTCTGCAGCTATTTCAAGGGAAAAATAAGAAGAGGACACCACAACCGAGACGGCTCCGGTAGTTTTATAAACTTGCCATGCTTGCGCTATTGTCTTGCCAAAGAGGAGCATCAGAGTCTGCTCACTTCCTGTAACCTATTGCCTGGGGACTTCAGCCAAGGACTGGACACAGGAGCCGGTCCACTGACCCAATCCTTGGCACGCTACAAGTGCCACCTTCCTTTAACTTGGTGAAGATGAGAACAACTCTTTGTCTTTGGGTGACAAAATCCAGGCAGGATGGGGAGAATGCTCCTGCATGTTTTTTATGCTGGATCTGATCCTGTCGGTACTATGATTTCACAGCCATCTAGATGCCCGTAGCAAGGAAAGAAAGCTTTTAAGGCAGCTTTCCAGTGACACCAATAGAGCCACAAGGATTCGCTCTCTCTTGAAAAGCAGGAGAGCACATCTGCAGCTCATTCTGCTGGCTCAAGTCATGAAAACAAAGACCAATCAGAGCTTCATACTCTACCTCTGTCCATGCCACATCACGCCCACAGCTGATCTCGCTGCACGTGTTGCCCATCACAGCAGGCACAACAAGCTGGAACTGAAAAGAAACACACACATTTTCTCTGTTCACACACCACAGTACTGAGAGACTTCTGGAGAACTTGGCAGCCTATTACACAGCTTTTTACCAAGTGGTTATCCCTCTGCTAGCAGGTGGAGGACTCTGGCACAAAGCAGCAGCAGATGCATTTGCCCAGGGCCCTCTGACAGCACAGTAGCAGGGCAGAGAGAGGAATCATTGCTGGAGGTGGATCTACTCCCCACCCCTCATCTTCTGAGGACTGAGTTGGAGGGGAATTGGAAAAAACCCACACAGGACCAGTGTCCCATCGAAGCTGGATGAGGCTGTGTTACTAAAGGCAGTGCAACACGGGCTGCTAATCCATGTGGGGGGATAAAACGTGGCACGTACCTGGCAAGAGATCAGAACAAGGTAGACAAGTTCCTTGAACCCGCAGCCGTTTCTTGTCACTTTGCTCTGTTCTTCCGCAGGCAAAAGCTGCAAAAGGGAGCAGACAGAGGAGAGAGAAGGAACAGGTCAGTGAGCTTGCACAATTTAGCAAAGATGACAAAGGAAAAACCATGGGACAAATGCCATGGGTCACTTGGGAATGTATGTACTGGATGAAAATTATGTCTGATGGACAAGAGTAAGCAATATGATCCTATGAGCTCTGCCAGCCAGCAGTTCTCAACACCTCACTGCCCACCCGTCTATCCCACACTGTCTCAGCTTACCTACAAGATGCTGCACAAGACGGTGTGAAAATGAAGGTACTCAGTCGGTGCACAGGTGCAACAAGCGACCTACTCAGTCAGAGCTCAAGCGCTCCAATGAAGGGACGCAGCACGCGCTGCTCCTCCCCTCATTCTAGCTGCTTATGACATCACTAAGGGCCACCAGGCTGCTCCACCATGACGGAAAAGGTGGGGAGGCAAGACCACATCACAAGACCAGAAGATTCCAACACCTCACCCCAACATTCTAGAATCAGTGGGCAGTTGGAATTCTATCTCAGCCAAATCCTGGAGAAGCTGGCACGGGGTTGTCATGACCAAAGCTCAGGACCTGGCACTTGCTCTTGTTGAGCCTCGTACAACTGGCCTCAAGCCATCCCTCTGAAGGGCCTTCCTACCCTTGGGCAGATGGACACATCTTCCCAACAGCGTACCTTGCAGTGCAGGGCCTATGTAAAATCTTCAGTAGTGTCCTTTTTTTAATTCAAGGCGTGTTACAGCACCTATCTATTTCACCTGTAAGGAAATCAAGGAGAAGACGGGAGAAACACATAACTCCTACCAGACTGGTTTATAAATTTCTTTCCGAAGTGGATTTTTGCCTTTTTACTTCCATGACAAACTCATTTTCTCCTCCTTTTCTTCTTCGGAAGCTGCCTCCAATGCCTGAGGTTCAGGAGACAGCATGAAACATGACAGTAAGACAAACACTTGACATGGGTGTGGGGTGGCTGTGTTTTGTCAGGCATATGGTAGGGTAGTAAGTGCCACACAACAGCCCCAAGCCAAGTCCTGCATTCAGTCACTGTGGCCATCAGCTGGTGCATCACTCCTAACTGAGGATACAGATGGACGCAGGCACTCCTGCTCCTTCTGCAAAGCCATCCTCTGCAGAGCCTGTTAGGCACTGCTCACTGCTATGCCAACCAGGCTCCCGTTTACTGCAGCCCTGGGATAAACACGTGTGTACTCTTCTGTACAGCAGTGAGATCCAGGGATGAAGCACCAGAGGGTAAACCAACAGAATCTACTGCTGACTTCATCAGCTCCTTCTTCTACAAACCATGGGGCAAATACAAGCAGTTTAAGCACTTCAGCTCGCACACACAAAATGGAATTCAAAACAGCTACTGCAAGAAGAGCTTGTGGGATAAACCCAGCCTCAGACACACAAATGCATCAGATTCCAGTAAATAGTATGTCATATTGTTGATGAAAAGCTCCTTAATTGCTCGGAGAGCACGCAGCATGCCACTTTGGCAGGCACAGCAGTGCGATGTCCGAGCTGAGCACCAAAACCTCCCCAGCACTGCTGGCCAATGCTGCCAGAGAAATGCACGACCTGCAGCCCCACCTGGCTTACAGCATAGACACTGGGGGGCTGCCTTAGTTTCCATAGGGATGGATTTTTCTTCAGAGTGTCTGGTATGATGCTATGTTTGGGTTCTAGGAGAAAAATTACAGTGATAACACTCTGCCATTTATAGTTTCTGATAAGCAAGATAAGATAAGTTTGTGATAAGAGTTGTACAGAGGTAACGCCATCCTCAGCAAAGTTGTCAGCAAGGAGCCGGGAGGGAACAGAATTAGGACAGCTAACGTAAACTGGCCAAAGGGATATTCCATACCGTATGACATCGTGTGGAAGGAGTTTTGAAGGGGGAGGGAGTTCATCTTGCACTCTTCTACTGCTTGGGGGCTAGCTGGCTAGTGGGTGCTAAGCCATTGCTCGTACATCATTTGTAATTTATTCATATATATATGAATATATACATACATTCATAACTACTATCATTTTCTCTACCTTAGTAAACAGTTTTATCCCATCATGTGAGTTCTACTTTCTCTTTCCACCCAACTCTCTCCCACATCCCACTGGGAAGGGAGGAGTGAGTGAAGGACTGTGTGGTGCTGAGCCACCCACTGGCTTAAACCACAACAGGGCAGCAGGGCAATGGGAGCAAACATGAAGTGCACTGTGGTCAGGAGGAAATGAAAACGGTCTTGAGGTACCAATTCCACTGAGGATAAGGAAAAGGCAGAGGTTCTGAATGCCTTCTTTACATCTGTCTTTAAAAGTCAGAGCAGTTATCCTCAGGGTACTCCTCTCTCTGACCTGGTAGTCTCGGCTGGATAGCACACTAACCCCCCTGTGATTCTGGAAGAAACAGTCAGAGACCTACTACTCCAACTGGACTGCCACAGGTCTATGGGGCCAGATGAGATCCCCCCGAGAGTGCTGAGGGAACTGGCGGAAGTGACAGCCGAGCCGCTTTCCATCATCTCTCAGCACTACTTGTTGACTGGTGAGGTCCCAGAAGACTGGAGGCTTGCCAATGTGATTCCCATTTACAAGAAAGGTTATAAGGAGGATCCAGGGAACTACAGGCCTGTTAGCCTGACCTCGGTGCCAGGGAAGGTTATGGAGCAGATTGTCTTGAGGGAGATCATGCGGCATGTGCGGGATGACCGGGGGATCAGGCCTAGCCAGCATGGGTTCATGAAGGGCAGGTCCTGATTGACCAACCTGACCTCCTTCTATGATGACCCATCTGGTGGATGAGAGAAAGGCTGTTGATGTGGTCTACCTAGACTTCAGCAAAGCCTTTGACATTGTCTCCCACAGTATTCTCCTGCAGAAGCTGACAGCCCGAGGCTTGGATGGGTACACTCTTGGCTGGGTAAGGAGCTGGCTGGAGTGCCGGGCTCAGAGAGTGGTGGTGAATGGAGTTAAATCCAGCTGGTGACCGGTCATGAGTGGTGTTCCCCAGGGGTCAGTGCTGGGGCCTGTCCTCTTCAATATCTTTATTGATGACCTGGATGAGGGCATCGAGTGCACCCTCAGTAAATTCGCAGATGACACCAAATTGGCTGGAAGTATGGATCTGCCTGGGGGTAGCGAGGCCATACAGAGGGATCTGGACAGGCTGGAGAGCTGGGCTGAAGCCAATGGGATGAGGTTCAACAAGACCAAATGCCGGGTCCTGCACTTCAGCTACAACAACCCCAGGCAACGCTACAGGCTTGGGGCGGAGTGGCTGGAGGACTGCATAGAGGAAATGGACCTGGGGGTATTGATTGATGCTTGGCTGAGCATGAGCCGACAGCGTGCCCAGGTGGCCAAGAAGGCCAATGGCATCCTGGCTTGCATCAGAAACAGTGTTGCCAGCAGGAGCAGAGATTGTTCCCCTGTACTCAGCACTGGTGAGGCTGCACCTCAAGTACTGTGTCCAGTTTTGGACCCCTCACTGCAAGAAAGACATTGAGGCCCTGGAACGTGTTCAGAGGAGGGCAACAAAGCTGATGAGGGGTCTGGAGCACAGGCCATATGAGGAAAGGCTGAAGGAGCTGGGATTGTTCAGCCTGGAGAAGAGGAGGCTCAGGGGAGACCTCCTTGCTCTCTATAACTACCTGAAGGGAGGTTGTAGTGAGCTGGGGGTTGGCCTCTTCTCTCGTGTCATTAGTGATAGGACCAGAGGGAATGGTTTCAAGCTACGGCAGGGGAGATTCAAGCTGGACATTAGGAAGTATTACTTTTCAGAAAGGGTGGTCAGGCACTGGAAAGGACTGCCCAGGGAGGTGGTGAAGTCACCGACCCTGAGGGTGTTAAAGGAAAGACTGGATGTGGTGTTGAGGGACATGGTTTAATGGGAGCTATTGGTAATAGCTGAATGGTTGGACTGGATGATCTTTTAGGTCTTTTCCAATCTTGGTGATTGTATGAATTCAACTGTTTTATTTCCATAAAACAACCCCATTGACATCACACTGCTGACACAATGTCCTTGCAAACGCAGCAGCAACTCCTGGCACCGATAGCTCCAAGTACAACAAGCACAGGGCAGTGGGTTGCTTTAGATGCAGTTTGAGCACTGATCTGAGGTCTTTGTGGAAAGCGCCTTGCAAAGCACATCATGTCCTGCACCAAGCAGAGTGCTGCGCATCTCCCATCTCTCCAGGCTTTGGGGCTTTGAAGCTGCACAGTGTTTCTTGGGAGTTTGTCCCCCAGAACTCCAGAGCACATTGAGCTGTTCCCTGGCAATTCACAGCTTGTGGAGTGTCAAACACAACAAAGAAAGAAGGAAAGAAAGAGGCAAAGGCCATGGCTGTGTACAGAAGCGCTCAGGAAGGGCTCAGCAGGAGAAAGAAACCTGCTGCAACAACTCAACTAAATAAAGGGTTTACATCTCACAGTTACAGAACTTAGAACACCAAAGCACTGCCATGCAGACAGCACAGTATTTGGAAAGCAGCACATCCCAATCAGCCTCCTTGCCTTGCGCCAACTGCTCAGCCAAACAGAAATAAAACACACAAACTCTGTTTCTTTGCTCTTGGCAGCCACGAAGCTCATGTTTTAGTGACACGCAGAAGCGCATCTCCAGCTATTGCGTCTCTCACTAAGGGCAAGCTCAGCTGTGAGCTGTCACTCAGCCTGACACCACAAACAGAAAATAAGCGTTCATAAACAGATGCCCTTATCCACACGTGCCATTCTGGGTGCAAGGAATAAAAGGCTCATTAGGCCATGGGAAAGCAGGGAGCATATAGACAGGAAACACAAAGGAATTGAACTCCATGAGACATGAAAGACAAGGTTAAATGCACAACATCAGCACTTCCTGTAGAGCATATCACACAGCTGTAGGCACACCACAGAAGACTCACACTCCACCTGAATTAACTATTCAGGAAGGAAGACCTTACCATGTGAACGCAGTGACAAGCTCTTTTCTTCTTGGCCTTCGTTCACAGTGTGGA